ATTTCTATAAGAAGGCTATATTTCTTATAACTTTTGCTAATGAACTTATATCATTACAATAATAGGTGCTGTCAAGTAAATGTCAAAATGATTCTTTTGTAGGTATAAAGTACTCAGAGGTGGAGTACTATACTTTCACTATAATGCATATATAATGCACCATAGTTTGTTATAGCATTGTGGCCTTTCAGGCTAATGATTATATTAATGTAGTCACTGATAAGAGTTAAAACATTTCTTTAGAACTTGGTCTGTTATATTATTCTTAGTGCTGTTTTGCTGGCACTGGCCCATTTTGATTTTGCTGGCACTGGCCCATTTTGATTGAAGTACGGAAGATAACAGCACAGTTGAACTGTATGATTTGCTCTTATTCTGTCCATCTTCCCCTTGGTTTATGCTTGTGGAAATACTGAAAATTATCTTGATCTGTAACATGGAAGCTAAATTTTAAATTTATACAGGATATTTAGTTCAGGCGCAGTCTCAAATTTGAAGTTAAATATGTTTCAACATGGTGCAAAGTCTTGTTTTTCTCTGTGTGACAAGGTTAGCATTTTAAAACAAAGCAAAGCACCAAAGTAGCACTTTGGGCTTTTTAAACAAACATATTGTAGGTAAGTATTTTACAGAAATGGTTAAACTGCTGCAGATGGCAGAAATTTCAGTACTCAGCACATTTTGCAAAATCTTTTTTTGAAAAAAAAATATCTGTGGCCTGTATTCCTTTTTTCCCTTTCCTTTTTTATTGCTCTCCACTTTTAAAAGTTAGATCTCACCTTTTAATAATTCACAAATCCTTCCATTGGGATTCAACTTTATCACATGTGTCTGATGAGGTCACTGCTTGTTGTTATGATACAGAAAAGCCTGTGTCTATTTTAGGCATTTACTGTACATTTCTCCCGTGAAAAGAGTGAGATCGTGTCATCTCATGCTCCCCATCCGCAGGTCACTTCCTGCAGAAATATGGACTAACTTAAACCTCGTGAGTACTGAACTGAGCGTCTCTTGCAGCCTCTAGCGTAAGAACCACAACTTGGGTTTGTAACAGCTCTTAAACAAAGAAAGTAAGGGGAATCTTTATATCTCAATTCCGATTGTGTATTCATTGTTCTAAAATATCACTGAGCTATTCCTTTCCTTGGGGAAAGGTGGAAAAATATTATTGATCAATGCTGTGTATTTTAGCCAGGTTGGGAAAATTATGCTCCTTGCTAACAGTATGTAAGATTTCTAATTTTTAATTATGTAGGAGAAAGTATTTTATAACTGCTCTTAACAATACTGCAGTCCATATCACTTGTTGCCACTTTTAAAATATTCTTTAGCATTATATTTACATTCAGTATAGCAGTTAATTTGGACTTTGTACATCAAATCAGTGCAGATACATACCTGGGATCTTAGCTGTTTTATTTTCAAGTTGTTGTTTTGCCTCGTGTGGGTACGAGTGTCCATTGCAGTTAAAAAATTGAATGAATGACTTAATCGCAGATAGAGTTAAATAATTGGGTAGATTGGTGCAATTGAAAGAGCATTTCCCTTTGTTAGTTTAGTAATGAATTCCTCTTTCTACACTTCTTCAGCCCAATGAGACTTTTTAATGCTTGTGACTTAGGAGTGGCATTGCAATGTTATGAATGCACACCAGTGTAGTGGTGCACATGGGAACAGGACAAAATAAAATTTTAGGTTTCATTGGCTGTGTTCAGATGCCACAATATGTTAGAAATCTTCAGAATTCTGCCTTATGAATGAGCAAGCATGCTGCTGGTTGCAGTTCACTCACTCCCACTTGGCATGTGCCCCCCAGAGTGGCTAAACTAGATAGTCTTTTGTTTCAAATCTGTACTGGAGTGAGAACGACTTTTTTTTAAAAAAGGCAGTGTGCAGGCTTCTAAAAATCCTGTTGTCATATGCTAAGATGTTACAAAAGTAAATCGAAGGAGAGGGAGTTGATTTTAAGTACTTGCCTTCATATTGTCCTGAATATACTTCTGGAATGAGATACCGAGCCTCATCAAACTGTGCAGTGACATTAGATTTCAATTGGGGTAGTCCATTTTTGTTCACTTAATAAAGATGTCACACTGGCATGATTGTGGAATTTGGTTTGCACCAAAATAGTTACTGATATGTATGTCTGTTGTTCATCATGAGACTTCTTGTGACCTTCCTTACCCAACAAGTTGGAACTATAAACCAGAGCTTGTTCTTGGCTTTGGAATCTGATATGCTGAAGGAGATAAAGCTAATGATTCTTGTTCAGTGCATCAACTAGTCAAACCACAATCAGAGACTCTCTAGCTTGTTTAGTCCATCTTTTTGTCAGGAAGAACCAAATGAGAATGATTGAACAGCTAGCATTAGCATGTGTGCTCATTCACAAAAACTCAGAATTTTGTTTTATCATGACAGTGACATGCCAACGCTAAGCACTTCAGAGTTCCATTGATTTAATTTTTCTTCCATTATTTGGAATAAAAGATATACATCTGTTTATGTGATACATATACTTGTTCTGTTCCAATTTGAAGGCACCCTTTTCAGACTTCTGTATCTTCCAAACATACTGAGCTAGACATATCAACCAAATCCTATTAGTTACACCTATTAGCTGCAAGTTAAGAAGTAAGCATGGGTACTTGCTGTTTCATATCAATTTGTGCAGCTCAGTATGCAGCACTAAATGCCTTAAGCTCACTTCTTAACTTCCAGCAATTTTTTGCCAGTTACCTTATGTTGACATGAAAACTCAATAGGATTTTGGCAACTGACTTAGATTTGTATCCCAATGACCTGACATTGGGTATCTGGCATTTCATGTCCAGGCTACTCTAATCTTTTATTTTGTTTTTGTATAAAAATTAAAAATACAGTCCTGTACACATTTACATGAAAGTAAATGCCATTGAACTCCATGTAGCTCACTCCTAAGAAGATGTATAGGGTTGGACTGTAAGAGTCCTCAAATCCAAAATGGCAGGATAACTATTTTTCATATGATTAAACTTTTGAAGAACATTAAGGGACCGGTGGCCCTTTTCTTGAAAATGCCAGATAAAATATAGACAGGTTCATGCACTTGTCCACATTATAGCTAACCATCCTCCCCCCAAAAGATATGTGTTAAGAATGATTACTTATTTATGACTACAGGAAGTACAAGGACTTAAAGACATGACTGTGTCACAAGTAAAAGCTGCTAATTAGGCGTATCTGTATTTTGTTAATCTGTTTTTATGTTTAAATAAAGGTTAAGCTTAAAATAATTTTTCCAGTTTTAAAAAGTGCTATTTTCAGTAGAATCAACTTAGTATTTTGCTGTTACTGCCCACCATCTCTACTCACCAGCATTATTGCTACTACTATGATCTCATAACCAGAAAATGATAGGAGAAAATTTTTGGCCTATTTAAATTAACCTACTTTAGGGAGTACCAATTAAAAGAGTATATCATAATTTTGATCATTTGCTTACTTTTACTGAACAGACTCCTTAAATGGATCCAGTAGCCTTTGACAGAGAATGATATGGCACTGAGAGGGTGAAAGTCACATTACTGATTAACTTTAAGCATTTTGGTGTAGCAGTTTAAATATTGTAGGTAATTCAGAGGCTCTCAATTAATCCTGAGAAATAAAACCTCATGTTTAAAATTTGACACGAACTAAACTTTAAAACAGTTAAGATCCTTTGGCATTTCTGCTTTTTTTCTTTTCTTTTCTTGCTATAATCCTATACATGGTGACTTAGGAGTAAACCCCACTGTTCTTAGTAGAACATAATTTTAATAGACATGTATAAGATTATAGTGCCAGTCATTTAAGTACAAGTGTTTCTGTGTGAATGCCTTTAGAGAATGCCCAGAAGAAATTTATCCACAAACTTTGTATAATCCACAAGTACGTTTCTACATTCTCTGATAGGTGCAGCAAAAATATGTATGAGAAAGACATTGAACAAGGTGCTCCTGTACATTCACATCCTAAAATGCCTGTTTCCCTTTTTTTGCAGGAAGAGAATAGGATTTGTTCTTTAAGAAGAGTGATTTGCATATCATTCCAATAAAATAAGTTATATAGCAATAAATAAAGTATTCTAGGTTTCACATATTCTGTAGCTCCCTCTTTCAGCCCTGAAAATATATTGCATTTTATCTTAGTCTTATAAACTGAATAGCTTTTGAAACCTGTCTTCCCAAATTGCTTTTTTTTCCTTTGTGGTTCTGCAGTAGAGGAAAGTAAATTCTTATTTAATCACAATATAGATAACAGAGCAGTAGTGGCTTCTAACCCTATTGAGATTCTGAATAGTTGCTACCGTACTGTTTAGTAGTCCATAGTACATATGAAATAGTGTAATGCTTAACAACTCACTTTTCTATGTTTGTACAAGTATTTCTGGGTCCCCTCAACAATATTTGCTTTGAATGCTAAACTGACAAGACATAATTAATACAACATAATGTTTAATTATACTGTACAATTGAATATTGACATGTTTATATACAATATTATTTGTCTGGCTGCACAACAGTAAACAGTTATTCCGTTAATGTATTTCTATACTTTGCTGTGTATTTCCATTATATAAATTAAATTTACCAAAAATGTTTTATGCTTTTCTGATAGATTTTAGTTTATTTGCACTTTGATTTTATTTGGAGTGCACTTAAATTCAGTTGGTATTTTCTAAATCTTGTTAGAAAGGTGGCAAAAAGGGATTTTTTTTTTAGCAAACTCGGTTTTATATACATCCTTTTGACTAATAAAAATAAGAGAAATATTTATTTCAAGTAATTATGCAAAATGTATTGGGTTTTTGGACTTGTAAAAATAGTAAAATATCAGTAGAGGCCTATTTCTGGTTGTTAGCATAGTGCACATAAGTTCACATCAACTTGTACCTATTGTTGATTTGTATTTTAGCATATAAGAAATAGTTTATCATGCTTTTAAGAGACCTAATCTGTCTTTCTATAATATTTATCTAGGCTTTACTGCGATCACGGCAACCAATCCAATTTGGTTCATAAAAACACGATTGCAACTTGATGCAAGGTAAAAAAGATAAGTTTATACAAAATGTAAATGAATTGGCATTGCAAAGAAAAATTTATACAGAATGTAAACAAATTGGCATTGCAAGGACAACATTTTTTAATTGATTGTGGTTCTACAGATGGGCTGATGTTACCAGAATTCATTCTATACTGACTTCATCTCAGCAGTTTTAATACATATAGTTGTGCCCCGCTTGACGATGACCCCGCTTGATGACGAAATCGCTTAACGATGAGTTTTTTGCTATTGCTATTGCGAGCGCAAAACGATGGTTCCTATGGGGGAAATCCGCTTTACGTCGATTAGGTGCCTGCTTCGCAAACCGTTTGTTCGCAAAACGATGTTTTTTCTGGCTCCACAAAATGACTTCCCTTCACAAAATGTTTTCCCTGCCTTCGCAAAATGGCTGTTTTCCATACCCCTGCTTTGGAAGACAGCGATTTTAAACAGCTGATCGGCAGTTCTCTATGGGCGATCTTCGCTGGAGGATGAGGCATTTCCCCATTGCAAAACATTAACCGGTTTTCAATGCATTCCAATGGGTTTTTTCCGCTTGACGACGATTTCGCTTAACAGCAATTTTCCTGGAACGGATTATCATCGTCAAGCGGGGCACCACTGTACTCTCAATGTTGTATATTCAAATAAGCCTTCACTAACAGATTTCCAGCAGATTTTCTGCTGCTTTAGCTATTGTGAAAAGTTTCATAAAAGAGATTTCTGCCACGGTATCCTTATGCAATACATATGATTTATGGGCCTTCTGAACCTTTCCTCTGAGGATTTCTATGATTATTTTAATCAGAGGCAAAGGTTAAACTGGTACCTAACAGATATTCACCTGAACAAACATACAGATAAGAACAGGATTGTAGTTCTGACCTTGTCCCCCTCTTCCCCGTGATACATGTTTAGCAGAAGGTTTGGAGACCTGTGAACATGAGGTATCTGCACCTTCACAAAAGCTAAATTTATTAGAAACAGTCTTTGTATATAGAGAAGCTGAGATTTAGTCCTGAAGGGGCATTTGTCTGAAGATCTGGAGAGCTGTTGTCTATTAGAATAGACAGTACTGGACTATATGAAACAAGGGTCAACTCAACAGCCCATTTTATATTGCTCGAAAGCATGCAAGGGGAGAATGACTATTTTCTCCATTTGCAACATGCTTGTTTTCATGGGCTTTGTACTATCACAGAACTCAGAATGTTAACTTTTTAAAAGTAACTTGTTTCATCAGCAGTAAATCATTACAGTTCGCATTGCCCCATATGCAAAAGTAACTGTTTCTCATTCCAAGCATTCCTTGTTACTCTGGACAGTCTTTGGGAAATGTATAAAATGCTCACTGATTCCCTCAAGTGGTCAGTTGTCATTATTACACAAAAATATTGTTCGTCTTCTTCCTCAAGGATGCCAATATGATATAGTAGATGGACTAGGATGCAGGAGACTTGGGTTCCAATTTCTACTCAGCCATGGAAACACATGTCAGGGGACTGAGGTGGCACTGGTGAACCTAGTCTTTTTAGAGTTGCTATACGAGAATCATTGGAAAGTATGTGCCTCTTCTCCTCCTCCTCTACTACTCAAATAAAAAATAACTCGGTCTTTTATATTGAAAAAGTTGTGCATCACAGTGATGGTTATTAAAGCCCCCAAAGTAATCCACTCCACCTTATTCCAAAAAGTAACACATTACTGAAGTTAAATCTTACTTCTGAGATTGTACATATTAAGAAGGGAGACATTAGCAGAAGGAATGATATTTTCCACCTTCATGTTGCCTACCCAATGTAATAAGGGCTGTTGTATAAAGCATTTTTGTGATTGTCATTTTTCTGTTATCTAGCCCATAGTGATCTGAAGATAAACATATTGCCCTGAGAACTGAGGTAGAATAGTTGCATTCGTAGGATTCTTCTTTCTCTTCATAGTTTGGGCATAGCTATTTGAGTGTAAATATAGTGAACTGAAAACAAAACAATAGCTAGATGGCTTGCTGTATTTCTGTAGCGTGTTCATGTTTTCCTGCTCAGTAAAAGCTTACAGGCAAGTTCCAGAAAAAGTGTGACCCTCTGGGTACTTTGTCTATTGCCATATGATGTCTGCATCTGGAAAAATATTAAACCTTTTCAAGTTACTTTGTGTTTTTCCCCCTTTCTTACAGGAATCGTGGGGAAAAACGGATGAGTGCTTTTGAATGTGTTCGCAAAGTCTATAAGTCAGAAGGATTTAAAGGTTTTTACCGAGGAATGTCTGCATCCTATGCAGGCATATCAGAGACTGTTATTCACTTTGTTATTTATGAGAGTATTAAGCAAAAGCTGTTGGAATGTAAGTCTGCTTCTGCTATGGATGAAGATGATGAATCTGTCAAAGAACCATCTGACTTTGCTGGCATGATGATGGCTGCAGCCACTTCCAAAACCTGTGCCACATCTATAGCCTATCCACATGGTAAGAAAGTGTTGTTTTTGGGAGCCCATGTGCCAAATCCTTTTAAAATGACAGTGCAAGTCATTTCACATTTGCTGTGAAAAAGTATACTGTAGCCTTGGGTGGGGGTGGGGGATTTTGAAATGACTGGTGAGGATTTCTTTAGATTCCTCAAAAATCTGTGGGAATTGGGGACCGGGAAAAATGTCTAAATAGGCATTTAACTGTACTCTTTATACAAAATACAGTGGTGCCCCGCATAGCGACGATAATCCGTTCCAAAAAATTCATCGCTATACGGATTCGTCGCTATGCGGGGCAAAAAAACCCATAGAAACGCATTAAACTCTGTTTAATGCGTTCCTATGGGGACAAAACTCACCGCTCAGCTGGGGGAAAATGCCTGCGGTGGCCTCGGAAGGACCCTTCCGAAGGGTCCTTCTGAGACCACCCCTGGGATTCCCCTTCGGAGGGGGCATTTTCCCCGAGCTGAGCGGGAGCCCCGCCGCTCAGCTTGGGGGGAAATCCCAGTGGTAGCCTCGGAAGGACCCTTCTGAAGGGTCCTTCCGAGGCCACCGCCGGGATCCCCCTTCCCCACGGCCGGCTTCCCCATCCATGGTCGGACTCTCAGGAGTCCGACCATGCCTGGGGTAGCCGGCCGCGGGTCGGATCCAAGCCGCGGGGGGAGGGTGGGGAGATCCGGATGCCTTTCAGGCATCCCGGGCTTGGATCCCACCCGCCGCCGGTTACCCAAGCCATCGCTATGCGGATTCGTCATTAAACGGGGCACTCGTTCTACGAGGCACCACTGTATTGTAACTTAGACAAAAGAGAGGTTTTAGGGCAACTTTGAGGTGGATTTGTCATCAACTAGTGTAGACTCCCATAAATAATCAGGTTCACAACTTGATGGTGCCTCTTGATAGTTAACAGCAGTAATGAGGAGCTTGAGTTGATGAACTAGTTAACTTTAAGTGGTTTGAGGTTTGTATTTGTCCCAAAAAGTACCACGTTTTATACGTCCCTCCCCACTGTTCCATTAGATCAGCAAGAGATGCTCTGCTTGACATTCTGTCTTTTTTGTGAGTTGAGGTGGACAAAAATGAAGGCCAGGGCATTTTCAGACCTGACCCATATGCTATAGGAAATGACTCATTCAGAATTAGTACCTTAAGAATGCATTTCCTGCTTAACTGTAAGCACATGTTCTAATTTTACTGAGAAGTTGTCGTTAGAAACCTCCAAACCCCTCTGAAATTAAAAAAAAATCCTTCAATGCATACTATTTTTATATTCTTGTAGTCTATGTCATTCCTCCAAACCACCTGTGCAGCTAGCCCAGTGCCAACTGACCTTGAAAGTTAAGTACAGTTGGGCCTGATTGATACTTTAATTGGAAACCACTTAAAATCTTCAGGTAGCACTAGGGAAGAAACTTGCCTGAAAACCTGGAGAACCACTGACAGAGTTGACCATTCTTATCTAGATAGTTCGGTGGTCCAATTCTTAGACAAAGGCAGATCTTTTGTTTCCAATGTTCTTTGTGTATTTTGAAGGTTATTATCAAAATGTGATATTCCATGTATTCTGTTTATACAGAGGTCATACGAACAAGGCTACGAGAAGAAGGAACAAAGTACAGATCTTTTTTCCAGACACTTTCCCTGCTTGTTCGAGAAGAAGGTTATGGCTCACTTTACCGTGGCTTAACAACACACTTGATTAGACAGATACCAAACACAGTTATAATGCTGACTACATATGAAGTGGTAGTCTACTTATTAAATGGATAGCAATAATACCAGCTATCTAGAGGAAGTTGAAAGACCAAAAGCTTGCAGTGGACCATGAACTCTGTGTGGGTAGGCAGCAGAAAACATCTATCAAGGATATGCAGTGGTGGATGAACTGGAAGACTGATAGGCAATCATGCTCAGTCGTGCTGCCTTATCATGTGACTTTTTTAGCAATGCGATAGTCTGAAGCTGCTCCTACTGGATTGCCTTTAAATGCCTCATATTTCAATTGCATTTTCCCTGTTGTGTCAACTGTTCTAAAACTATGCAGTAAGCCATCAGGGACTTCGCTGTGAGCATGGAGGGTCATAACTTGTGTCCTTATTACAAGGGGTACATCTCACTTCAACTCCTATTTCAGTGCTGCTTTCATATTCATGTTCTGTTACAGCGCAGTATCTAATTGGAAGAGTGTATCTGTATCTAGTTAAAGCAGACTTATAACTTCCTGTGTTGAAACTCCATTTTGCAGTTTGAAATAAAGTGAAAGGTAAAAATTCATGTTAAGCTTCCCATTTTACTACCTCAGGGTGTGACAAGGAAGCTTATGTTCATTGCTATGAAAAAGGCAGCCTTCATTTGTAGAGTTGGAGAAACGCAGGGGCTGTACAGGAAAAATATGTATGGAGTTCTGGTTGCTTTGACATCTAAGATCCCAGTGGCAGAAGGGCATATTACTTTAAATTGTTTTCTGCTGCAGAAACGGAGAAGAGCTTTTGGAAGAATCTATCTGAAATTGAATTTTCTTCTGCTGTGTACGGTCTGTGTCTATAAGCCTCACTTGGATGTAAGGACTTCCAATTTTGTCGTGAAACATGGGCCTGTTGAGTAAGGCAGCCCTGCCTAATTAACAGATTAAAACATTGATGTTGGGTTTGAGATATTAGAAGTCTTTTCAGTGTGCTGTTTTGAAATCCCTGAGAACCAGCAAATACAGGGCAGGATATAACTTGCTTAGTCACTCAGGACTATGCGAGCTTTGAGCTCATTTCATCCATTTATCATGTGTTTCTGAGTGAAACTGAAACTTGCTTTACCAGAGTACACAAACTCCTTGATTAAGGCCATAGAGGGTATATCTTTGCCATATCAAATCAAGTGCTAATATTGTGGTTTAGTATTACTCAGAAACACAATAATTGAATACCATGGACTTAAGCATTTTCTTTTACTTTATTCTTCCCTCCTCCTTAAAATGTTTTGTTGAGGAAAATGTAAAGTGCAAGTTCCTACTTTTTTTTGAATGTTTAACTTTCAAAATCTATTTAATATTGCTTATACTACATTCTATGCTACATTCGAAGAGCACATCTTTCCTTACTCATACTAGCTCCATTGTCTCCATTTTTTTTAACAAGCAACACATTCAAAGTATTGCAAATAAACCTTTTTGGTATTGTAACAATACATATAATTATGTTTATTCCTTAATATCTATACTGTGACTACAGTATAGCCTCCATCCTAACTGGGCCGTTATTTCTAACTATCACTTCACTAGCAAAAGTGGCAATGACTTTGAAGAAGATTCTGAATTAATTAGTGTGCAATTACTTTATCCTAAAAATGTAGCTCTTGCACTTTTATGCCTTTAATGGCTTCTGACTCTTATGCCTTCATTGGTTTGCTTACCCCCTGCTTTTAATGTGTTAGAGCCTTGCCAAAGTAAAGTAATTTTAATGGTGCAACCCTGTACATATCTTCTCAGAAATAAAATCACACTGAGCTCAATAAGAAGTACTTCCATGTGAGAGTGTATCTGATTGCAACCTAAAACTATCTGGTATCAAGTGTGTTTGAACTTGCACATTCTGCAACAGAAATTTCCTACTTGTGCTATTAGACTCTTGATAATGTTTAGTGCTGCTGCTTTTTAAGGCTGATGATTGAGTACAGTGATTTTTTGCTGAATTTTTCATTGGAGAGAAAACAAGAGGACCTATTTTCCTTCATGTTGTACATGATCTCATTTTATAGCATTACAGTGAACCTGACAGATACAGCCATATTAGTTCAGGGATGAATATGGAAAAAAATTAAAGGTATAACTCCCAACTGTCTGTGTCTTAAGCTAGCTTCTTCCTGTTTCTAATCATTGGTTGCAATGTTTAAACTGTTAGTAACAGTGCTTTTAAAAACCCACCTTTTTGTAGGAAAAGATAAAGGCAAAATTTGCCATATACAGTACTGTTATTTTGAAGCAGCATTACTTGTAGAAAAATAGACTTCCTATTTTTGTACTTCCGCAGTCAGGTGGATTCAGATAGTCATGTTTGCTTCACCATACCCCATTTAGTAATTACTGTGAAGTCAGTGTGATAGACCTCCAATGGAAATTGCCCAAAGCCAGCTACAGAAGGATTCAGAAAACCAGATTCTTCCTGGGCTAGCTTAAAATCTTGCTTACAAATATTGTGATAATTCCCAAATCTACCACTTGATAGGTATTTCAGAAATTAAATTCTGTAGGTGTACCTATGCATGGAGATTTTAAAATTGCAAGCAGTCAGGTACAGCCAACTATACAAATTCATGTTGCTTGTTAACTCCAAAGTAGATCAGACTATCAGCTGATAACTGTACTATAGATTTAATGGTCCATAATAAGGTCCAGATGACAGCTTTCAGAACACAATGGAGATATTATGTGGTCACTTTGATCTTTACTTTCAGGCACTCCAGTACTTAGGTGTTTTGCCTGATAAATACAATACATTGTTGGATCCAGAAGGTGCCTTCCTTGGATGACTGGTCTGCTTCAGTCTGCAGGAGGTTCTACTCCCAGAATCTTGCAGATTTTCCCTTTTCCTGCATCCCAGTCTGCAACATTCAGCAACACAATCTCTGTGTCACTGAGGGTTGCTTGTGAGACAGCAGAGAAGGCTGTTTTGTTGTTTGTTTTTTTGCAGACCCAGATGCACCACAGCTCAGTCTGAAGCAAACTCTTCTTGTCTGCTTGCTTCATTTAGATACCTGTGGGATGACTGTGATGCATTAACTGTGCATAATTAGGAATGGTATATGAGATTATCAGTTCCCCGGACTTCTCTTCCATCAATGCTGTGATTCACTTATTCAGTAATCCAAACGGTAGCCAAATTGAAATCTATGGAACACATGCTTTTCTTATTGAAGTCTGTATGTAAAGTAGAAATTAGTACCTTTTGGTTTCACTGGTTTAGGGAGTCCATCCTTACCTCAACTCAAAAGATCTTCAGGGAATAGGTTTAAATGCTGCTATGTCAACGTTCACTGGCAAAAATTTTATCCTGTGGCTATATTGCACCAATGGCGTGTAAGAAACTGGGGCAAGTTGGCAACTGTGACAATGCCACCTTGCTCACCCAAAACAGCCACAGAACCAGTGAGACCTTATGACAGCCTTCAGGTGAACAAAGTCCCTTTCACTAACTACATGGGGAGTGATTAAGGAGGAGGAGCTTTCCCCAAGCCTCCCACCCCACTGATAAGAAGGGCAACAAGGACACTACCTGTTCTGCTGGAAGGTTTCTCCTCTGTGCCCCTGCATCCAGCAATTAGTAGCATGGCTTTGCCTAACTCTTACTAATGGAATATGTTGTTTGGCATGTTTTAACATCTAGTGACAGATTAATAGATTTGTTTTCTTACTAAGCGTTTGCTCTGGCTTTTCAGTCTCCATATTTAAATTTTGGTGTCTTATAGGGTAAACACTTTGATATAGCAAGTAGTTCCCCAGTTCCTTGTACAGTGGTGCCCCGCATGACGACGATAATACATCCCATTGAAATCGCTGTTTAGCGAAATCGTCGTCATGGGGAAAATACCTCGTCGTCCAGCAAAGATTGCCCATAGGGAAGCCATTTTGCGAGCAGCGATCAGCTGTAAAAATGGCTGCCCTGCGAAGCATGGGTCCGGAAAACACAAGGCAGCCATTTTGCGAAGCCGATGATCAGCGGAAAAAATCATCTTGCAAACAAACGGTTCGCAAAGCACAGACCTAATTGACGTCCAGCGGAAATCCCCCATTGGAATGACTGTTTTGCGAATCGCTATAGCGATCGCAAAAAGTCATCGTTATGTAGATTTGTCGTTTAGTGGGGTCATCGTCTTGCGAGGTACCACTGTATTAAAGTTCTTTAGGTACCTCTGTTTTCCAAAGAAATAAAGCATTTTCTTTGCATATTAGATCAAGGAAGTGTTCTGAGATATTATCAGTAGTAGAAAATGGAAGAGTTTACATTTTAATTTCATATAAGAATAATTTGTTTCTCCTTAATTGATTTTTGTCTACATTCCCAAGAATTTTTTTTTATGATACTTTGATTTTAAACCACAGTTCCTTGGAAAATCACTGTTACTGAAGTATTTCATACACCTGATTTACACACTAAAATTATACCTTCTCTTTGGAGCAGTGGCTTGTTAACAGTAGCACAAGAATGGCATGTTTGACCAGAAGGTGGCATTATAGTACATACCTTTGTAAGAAAGCTACATCTCCAAAAAAATTAGCTGGTGTGCCAAAACTGTTCTCTTGAGTGTTTTGCATTTAAGAATACTTGGTTTAGAGTACAATAGCCAATATAAGGGAAATGCATAGTAATTACCTTTGACAAGCAGACCTTGTATTTTTCTGTTAAAATTTGGTTCTGCTGTTTAAAATTCATCAAAAAGTACAATAAATCCATGAATGAACGAGCATGTTGCACACATGAAAGTCGTACTCCAAAGTCATCTTTGTTTTCTCAGGTTTTTGTATCATTATTGGCAAGCTTTATTTGTGAGCACACATGAGCAATGTAACTAAGGGGTTTCAGTTTTATACAATGAGCAACTAACATATGGCACCACTCTAATATTTGGAATAAGTATCTTTTCAACATAAAGGGCTTTCTTGTATCTAAGTATGTGGACTTGTATGTAATCTGGGCCTAGGTTCCAGAAACCTGTTCTAAGAGATTCCCAGTGGGATGTTTTCTGACCCTTCTCTGCTTAAAAAAGCGGAAAGCCATGCTCCATTACAAGCTTCTTTGTACATTACCTGTAGTGTGAACAGTAGTTTCCCATGTGACATAGGACAAGGCCACATGGTCCCGAAAACAATACAAATGCAAGACAAGGTGATACCTTTATTTGGACCATTAAAAAATAAAGCATGCTTTCAGTGATAATTCATCTTCCTCAAGCTGTACATGAGCTCCGAAATTTTATATTTATATTAAAGTTCCCAAAAGTGTCATGGCCGCTGTCGGGAGCTAGCTGCAGCTCCTTAGAAGGAGATAGCTACAGTCTGCAAGACATTTCTGGGGAAAAGAGTGTGGTTTCAGTCAGCTATCTGAGAAAACACCAAAAAAAATGCTACTTGGGAATATGTCATCAGTTGTCCATCTGTCTGGATCCCAGCCTAATGATACTAGATGTTTAGGATGTTCTTCGTACTTTTCTTTGAGTCTAAGCTTGTCATTAATTTCTGTTTCTGTTGCTTAATTTTTTCCTCAAGGTAATTGTGTTGTATACTTGAGACTGTTATTAGTCAGGGACCGTTTATTATTAAGCTTCTTAACTACATTTTTCAAACAAGAAGAGCACTGCTATGTGCCTACTTTAAAATAAATACCAGTTTTTGCGAGGTCCTGAAGTTCTGTACAATTTCACTTTTATTTCAGAAAACTGGCATATGTGAATATAATTTGCTCCAGGATTTATTACTGTTATTTACCAAATCCAATATTCTACTGCTCCCATGAGGTTTGCTGTCCTTCTTGCATACCATGTAGCTAGCTGTCAGTGATGTGCTTTAAGTACTTTTTATATTTATATTATATTGACAACTTTGTTTGGACTGCTAAAATATTCAGAATAAAGTAAGGTGTTCATTCAGATGTGTGAGGTTTATT